TCTCGGTGACACCTCAGTCCTGAGGTGCTGAGATCCCACAGGCTCTGTGCTGACTCCAGGTGTGTTCCTGTCCCCCAGGTGGTGCAACACGATCCCTGCCGGGGCGGAGCTGGCTACTGGAACAGCCTCTTCAGGTTCAAGCACCTGGCCACGGGGCACTACCTGGCAGCAGAGGTACGTGGGCTGGGCTGGCCCCTCCGCCTGCCCTCACTGCGCTCTCCTCCTCTGGCACCTTCTCAGAATCTGTCATTTCCCACCCTGCGGCTGGACACGGGCAGGGGAGGAGAGCGGTCATTGGGATTAACGCAAAAAGAGATGATAAATGTAGGAGAGCAGATGAAAGAGCTGAAAGAACGTCGTGGTTTGGGGTAGTCATGAGCTGATTACACTTTCTGTGTGAATTCTCGAGTTGAGAACTTCTCCTGCAAAGAATAGGCACTAAATGGTATCCTGTCATGTGGGCACTGGATTCAATGTGACTTTATTAACTGATGAATAAATGGTAAATGACTGAGAGCCTTGGGGGGGAAATGAATTCAAGCGTTGGTAATTTCTCTTGAATCACTGATTTTTGAGCAGAAGCATAGAACTGAGTATGAAATGAAAACACTGACTTCAGACCAGTCTGTAAGAACTGCAGATAGAGAAAAGCCCAGATTAAAGCCCTATTTTATATTCTTCTGATAAGCAGATTGGAAAACCAGAAGCATTTTGTCACATGCACACTGCAAATCCTTTTCAGTAGTGATCCAGTGCAGAGCTTTTCCAGTAAATCTTGGGTTTTCTAATCAGCCAAAACAAAAACATGCTCTTGGATCATACAGGAATATCCCAGAGGAGATTGCTCACCTGATCCCTGGTTACAATAATGTTTGTTCTAAAAGATTTCTCCAAGCCAGTAGTTTCTAGCTGGAAATTCCACTTGGAATTTAAACAACAAAAAGAGAGCATTAACTGGGTAACTCTGTACTCTTGCTCCTGTAGTGATTCCCCTGGATGAGGTAACTCTCCCTGCATGTTTGCAGGTTGTTTAGCACTTTTGCAGCCATTCTGGGTGTGGGCAGTGTGCTCTGCCTGCCTGGAGCAGTGCAGGGCACTGGTGCCCATGGAGCTCAGGGGATGCTCAGGCTGTGTGCCCCTTGCAGCTGTGCTGGAGTTTGACCTGCCTGTGATTCTGTTCCATCAGGTAAACCCTGACTATGAGGAAGATGACCTGGAGTGTCAATCCTCAGTAAGTATAGGCAAGGGAATGGTCCTGCCCCTGGCTCAGGAGGGCTTGGCACAGGCCCTGGCCAGTGCACAGCTGGTCCAGGCTTCCTTGGTAGTGAAGAAACTGAAAACCTGACCATGCTCTGGAGGCTTTTAAGGCCTGTCCAAAGAGTGGGTGTTGACACCTTAGTGCAGAGCAACCCACTTGGAACTGAATTAGCACATTACCTGAGCCCCCCTCAGCTCCTCCCTTTGTGGCATCTTTTTCTGTCTGCCTGTTTCCTCACCCTTTCCTCAACCTCCTTCCTTGGAGCTCTGTCCTGCCATGGCTGGAATCAAGGTGACACCAGATGGGACTGGTCCCTGAGGGAGTGTCCCCCAGTGCTGTGCCTGTCTGACCTCTGTGTTAAACAGCAAATTTGCTGTACCTTGTCTCAGGAAAGCAGGGTAACAGCAGGAATGGCAGGGGGAGGGTGGTTCCAGGGCCATTCCTCTGGTTTTCCTGTGGGAGCCAGTCTGTGTTGTCAGTAAATGTTGTTGTGTCAGAGATTGAGTGTGTGGTGCTCTGTATTGGCAGGAGCTTCCCTTTGGTGTCAGAGGGAACCAGCATTGCTTCAGGAGCTGAAAGCACAGAAAACTGGAACAGCACTTTGCATTGTGGATTTTATTTATTTAGTTGGATTTGATGACAGGCTCATGCAGCTTTCTTGGTCATTTATCCTGTATTATGGAGGATTGGCACCATTTGGGTATGACAAAGAGCTATTCCTTCCGTTCCTAAGAGATGGATGTGATGCTTGGAAATCCTGCAGGGTGCATTTTTCCTCCTAAAAGGATTTTTCATTATAGCCTGGCCATTAAAATGCTTCCCTCACCCTCAGATATTGAGCTGTTTTCTTGATTACTCCTTGGTGGCATTTGGCAGCTTAACTGCAGTAAACATGGCAAAAAAACTGAACAAACCCCACCCACAGCTGTTCCCTGGGCTGTGGGGGAATCCAATTCTGAGGTGTTTTGTTGGGTCAATTTTTTGAGAGTTAATCAGTGCTGAGGGGCTTTAGGTAGACACGCTGCTCCTGTGACGTGTCCTGCTGAAATGTGCATGGATAACATCCATGAGCTGTCTCAGCTCTCTCGTTTTTCCCTGCTCTGTCTCTTTACCACTAGATGGCAAAAATAGACCAGCAAAAAGAGAGCAGGAGCGCAGAACTCAGCTCTGACAGGAAATTGCCACATGGTTTATCCTTCACTGCTGACAGCAGGGTGTAGGCTGCCTCAGCCAACTTTATCCCAACTCCATTGTGATCCCAGTGCGAGCTGGCTGCAGGGTTTCTGTGCACACTCACTGCTTTTGGTGGTGCTTTCTCCTTGTCCCTCAGAGGGCTGTGCAGGAGGGGTTTCCATGGGCATGGGTGAGGTGCCAGCTCCACCTTCCAGGAGCAGAGGGGCTGCTCTTGTCACCTTTGGGGGTGAATTTTGGTGCTCCCTGAATTGCCCCATTTCCTGCTTGCTGCTTTGCTGCTCGTGTTCAGCTTTGACCCAGTTTGAAGAAGTGACCAATTGTCTCCCAAAGGACAGGCAGAGCAGCTGTGTCCCTCTCTGTGTTCCCTCCCCTAGCTGGGGGGGATGAAGAGACAGCTGAAATTCAGAGAACCCATTCCAAGTGAGCGAATTTCTCCCAGAATTTCTCTCCAGATGGACTCTGAGTGTAGAGTTGCTCCTTCCCTTGAAGGCACACTCCCAAAGTGTATTTCTGTTCCATACAGATAACTGCCTGTTCCCATGTTCAAAATCAGACTTTAAATGTCACTGCTTTGCAGCCAAGTTCATTGACTGCAAATATGTTAACTTGGGAGTATCCTGAGGCACAAGCAGCACTGGATACCTTTTCCATCTGCTCCAGGATGGCAGAGCCTTGCAGCAGGGCTTTGACAGGCAGGTGCCCGAGTGCTGACTCCCTTGGCTGCCACCATCACAGAGAAGCTGAGAAATTGCTGTCTTGGTCACCCTGGAGATTGTAGCCGAGATTGAAGTTCATGGGCAGCTGGTTCCTGTGTGCTAGGACAGTGAGCAGCTTCTTTAGTGACTTGTGACAGCTGGGAGTTCCCTAGGAAAGGATTTGAAGAAAGTTGTTGTTCCTTTTTCTCAGTTGGCCTTTGTTTTTTCCTACCCTTTTGTCCTTTCATCTGAAGCCCCAAGGTTTTATCCAGTTGATGTATCTTTGCTGGAAGAGGATGGGGATTTGCTGGAACCTTGGGAATAAGGATCCTTCTGGTGCCATGGCCTTTGGAGCAGCACAGGCTGTAGTGTGAGCAGCAGGACTTGCAACTCCTTGATTGGCTTTTTGTTTCTCTTGCCTGGGATTGCTGGATGTGCCTCCTGTTTTTGCTGCTGGAGCTGATTATTTCCCAGCAAGGTTGTTGTTGGTACATGGTGTGGCCGGGTTTTTATGTTTTCAGCTCGTTAATTGTGTGGTGAGAGGGATAATTGCAGTGTGTGGGGTACTTTTGGAGAGCTGGCAGTGTCAGGACTGGGGATCTCAGCTGATGTGTGTTACCAGAAGGCAGTCAGAGCTCCCAGTGTGTGTGGGGTGAGTGGCTGGGGGGGTTTGTCCCTTCTGGCACTGTCTGTGAGGTGAATTCTGCGTGGAGGGGCAGTTGCTGTGCTGGCACCCAGGGGAAGCAGCGTGTGCGTGGCCAGAGCAGCTGCTGTCAGTGTCCCTGGTGTCCTGCACCAGTCCCCTTGTCCAGGGTGTGCCCCCTGTGTGTGTGGGGCTGGGGGCTCCGAGGGCTGCCCTGAGGCCCTGGGCTCTCTCCACAGCTGGACCCCGAGCAGGAGGCGCTGCGGCGGGGCCGGGGGCCCCAGGAGAAGATGGCCTACTCCCTGGTGTCCGTGCCTGAGGGCAACGACATCTCCTCCATCTTCGAGCTGGACCCCACCACCCTGCGCGGGGGAGACAGCCTCGTCCCCAGGTACAGTCACCTCTGCCCAGCTCGGGGGGGTTGTGGGATTTTAAACCAAAGCTGCCCCAGACTGTCTGCCTTACATCCTTTGGAATCAGGTTCCTCCTCTAGTGAATGTGGAAATAATTACAAAATGCCTTGAGTGCTTTACATTTGAGGTGTAAGTAAGAGAACACCATTTTACAGATGGGGAAATTGAGACTAAGTGACTTCCTAAGTGACTTCCTTGCCAGGAGTGACCTGGGCCTAAAAGCCTTGTGTGTTCTAGCAAGGCATTCATCCTGTTAGGATTCAGCACCAGCTGTTCAGCACTGGATTTTCTGTTGTTTGTGTGTTCTCTACTGTTCATGTGGCACCTCTTGCTGTTGAAAAGCTGCTGCACCCTTCCAAGTGCCACACTCTGCACACAGCTCTTTGCTGCTGTTCTCACTGAGAAAGCACAGCAAGTTTATTCCATTTATTCAGTAAATCCCTAAATCATCAGGTACCCATATTTTGGAGTATCAGGGAGTTCTGAGCTGAAAACCCCAGAGATAAGGGGAGAAGTTGGCAGCTCACAGCAGTAGAAAGGTGAAGATGGGAAGAGGTTCAGATTGTTGCTGTGCAGCAGCTGAGTTACAGCAGCTCAGAGTGGCTGTGGTTCTGTTTTAGAGCAGAATCTCTTTCACTGCAGAAGAAACCTTCCTCAAGTGAGTTCACAGAGTGAGCTGGGGCAATGAGAATGCTGTTCCAGTTGTGGTGTGCAGTGTGGACAGAGATGACACTTCCTTCCCACTTGTTCCTGCCAGCATCTCCAAGTCCCAGCAATGCAGAGGTTTCCCAGCTGGGAGGCTGACTCATGCTGGGGCACTCCTGACTTTCTTGCAGGAACTCCTACGTGAGGCTCAGGCACCTCTGCACCAACACCTGGGTTCACAGCACCAACATCCCCATTGATAAAGAGGAGGAGAAGCCTGTGATGCTGAAAGTGAGTTCTGTGACTTTGTGTAAGCACATCCTTTGATTCCTGTGCTTCCATACATGTTGGCAGGAGTTTCACTCCCTGAGCCTGTCACAAACTGAGCATGTGACAGTAATGAACAGTGCCTGTGCAAAATATTTGCTCGTAATGGCTCACAATCCTGGTATTTTTCTAGTTACTGTTCAGCTTCTACTCCATAACAGGATATTTTTTCCACTGGCTACAGCAACATTTTGCCATCTCACCTGCTGCTCCTTTGAATTTAGGGACAGCTTTGAGCTTGCACAGTGTTCTCAGAGTTTGGGTCCAGCAGGGCTCCCATGCTGCCAAAGCAGAGGGTGGCTTTTCTTTCATTGTCACTGAGTGTGAGCCACTGCTTTGTTCTGCCTTGGGGTTTGCTGATAAAGCTGCTCTGCCTTTCAGATTGGGACCTCTCCAGTGAAAGAGGACAAAGAAGCTTTTGCTATAGTGCCAGTCTCTCCTGCAGAGGTTCGGGACTTGGATTTTGCAAATGATGCAAGCAAAGTTTTAGGTTCCATTGCTGGCAAACTGGAAAAGGGAACAATAACCCAGAATGAAAGAAGGTAAGGAAGCCAGAATTGGGATAAGATAATGTTGTTTCCTGTAGCCAGTAACTGTTTCTTGGACAGTTTTATCACAGTAGGGGATAGAAGAGGGATTTGCTTTCCTTCTTGATGGGATTTGATGTTGTTGTGTCCATAGTGGAGGTTCTCAGGCCTGCTCTGTCCAGCCCTCCTAGTTCTCCATGAAGTGAGAGCATGAGAAATGTTGTGAGCTTTGGGGACTAATCCCCAGCATACCTCTGCAAATGGAGTGTGGGAATTCCTAATCCATCTTGTGAGGACTGAGCATGTGACTTGCTGCAAATCCTCTGACTGTGTCTGTGAAAATGGGGCCACACAAAAAGAGCACAGGGCTGGCTGTGTCACACCAGGGCCCTGGGCTTCCATAGCCAGTGCCTGTTATTTGGCCTTGGGAGAGATTATCACCTGATTTATGGTTTGTGGCAATTGAAAGAAGTGCCAAATAGAACTTGGCAAGAGTAGAGTTGTCCTAAAAGGATTTTCTTGCCTTGCTACTGCTCTGGTTTAGTTGGACAGTGAGGCTGCAGCAATGGGGGAGCATTAGTTTCTAATTTTAAGTTCTGTGCAAACCTCTGAGCTTTACCCAATCTCTAATTGCTGTTAGTTTTTCACTTAGCATTTAGAAATCTGTGTAAACTTAGCCTGGCACTGCTCTTTTAGCACAGAGAATTTGTGTTCTCGTGTTAACAGCTTCTGACTTTTCTGTAGATCTGTTACCAAACTGTTGGAGGATTTGGTCTACTTTGTTACTGGTGGAACTAATTCTGGCCAGGACGTGCTTGAGGTGGTGTTTTCTAAACCTAACAGAGAACGGCAAAAGCTGATGAGAGAGCAGAATATTCTGAAGCAGGTAGGCTGGGGGTTTCTCTGGGCTCTGGGACCAGTTCTTGGGAAAAAGAACCTGGTGTAACAGAGAACCTGGCCAGGCTGGATGGGGCTTGGAGCAGCCTGGCCTGGTGGGAGGTGTCCCTGCATGTGGCTGAGGGTTGGAATGAGGAGATCATCTTCATGATCCCTTCCAACCCAAACCATTCTGTGGCTCTGTGAAACTCTGGTCTCAAATTATTGGGACCAAAAGGTCCTTTGGGTTTCCAGCTTTCAGCAGGCTTTGGGCAGTGGGTGTAGGATCACCATTGCTGCAACTAAAAATTCCCACAGATGGTGTTGAATAAAGGTGATCACCATCTTCTGTCCGGGCTGCTCATGGCCAGGAACCGTGGTGACTGCAGCCTATTTCTGATGTACCTTGTGAAATACAAAGGCACAGAGCTTTGGCGCTGTTTATGAGCAGGAGAAGGCAGTGCCTCATGGGGCTGTGTCTGTGTTTTTTACTGAATCTGCAGATTTTCAAGCTGTTGCAAGCCCCCTTCACGGACAGCGGGGACGGGCCGATGCTGCGGCTGGAGGAGCTGGGGGACCAGCGCCATGCGCCCTTCAGGCACATCTGCAGGCTCTGCTACAGGGTGCTCAGGCACTCCCAGCAGGACTACAGGAAAAATCAGGTTGGAAATACCTCTGCCATGATCAACAGCACCAGCATGGCTTCCCTGCTCAAATGAAAAAAAAAGCTTTATCCCATAAAGTAAACCCTGCTCTGCTGTGGCTGCACAGTCAGCAAGAGGTTTTGGGATTGCTCAGCTTCATTCTATTTTTCATCTGTCAGAGACTATAATGTAATTAGCACTGGTTCTAAGTGGGATTTAAGAAAAGAAGAGAATTTCTAACTGTCCCACATAGATGAATTACAAGACTGTTCACTCTTGCTGACTGCAGGCTCCATTGAAAGTTGCCCTGTAAATTAAGGCTGTTCAGTTTTTGTTGCTGTGTATTAAAAACAGGGTCCTGTCAGATAAGTGTAAATGCATTGCTACTGTCTAGCCCAGGAGAGAGGGGAGGGATGCAGGTGTTAAGGTTGTGTGTCATCGTTTGCTTTCTTTCACACAAACAATTTGGATCTAACCCAGATTGATCCTTAGAATGTTGGTATTGACAAACATCCACCTGTTTTCTGTTATGATTGTGAATTCTGAGGGCTAATTACACCCCCTTGCTCCTTGCCTGTGTGTTTTGAAGGAATACATTGCCAAGCAGTTTGGCTTCATGCAGAAGCAGATTGGCTATGATGTCTTGGCTGAGGACACCATCACAGCCCTGCTCCATAACAACCGCAAGCTCCTGGAGAAGCACATCACAGCTGCTGAGATTGACACCTTTGTGAGTCTCGTGAGGAAAAATAGGGAGCCCAGGTGAGAGCTGCATTTCTGAATATGTGATTGCCCTTCTCCTTCTGGGCAAAGTCTGTACCTGCCAGCTTGCTCAGGAGGAGGCACAGCCAGTTCACTGTGTTCTGGCACTCACCCTGCCGTCCCCTCGGGCAGCAAGTCTTGCTCTGCTCTGTTCAAGTGGAGTTCTGAATGTTTGCTTCCTGAAATGTAGATTGCTTCAGCGTAGACTTCAACAGTGATTGATACCCTCTTGGCTCGTGCTTTCCAACAGGTTTTTGGATTACCTCTCGGATCTGTGTGTCTCCATGAACAAGTCTATTCCCGTGACACAGGAGCTGATTTGTAAGGCCGTGCTGAACCCAGCCAATGCAGACATTCTCATTGAAACCAAGTAAGTTTGTGCCTTTCAAGATGCTTCTCCTGGTGTGAAGCAGAAGGAAGGTGGCTCAGAGCTGAGCATGCTGCTGGCACGTCCCGGGGAAGCAGGGAGTTAATTGTGTGGGATCCTTTTCAAACACAGGGAGCAGGACTGGGGACAGCAGGTGTCTGCCAGGTGCATCCTCAGCCCCGCAGGTCTCTCCTGTTTGATCCAAATCTCACAGACTCTGTGTGCAGGGGGAGTGCAGGCCCCTGGGCTGATCCTCCCCCAGCTCTGAGGGAGCTCAGCTGGCAGCAGAGCAAAAGCTGCTCCAGCTCTGCTCACCTTTCCTCCCGCTGAGCTGGGGTTTGGGGCTCCAGCTCTGCTCTGCCATTGCTGAGGCCTCACAGCAAGCACCAAATCACCTTTGGCTGTGGTAAAAAATGGCTTTATTCAATATATGTACTAGGGAATAGATAACCATTATCCAAATACTGCAAAAGGGAAGCAGGCAGTACTTAAAACACAAATGGCTGAGAGTATACTTGCACATTTGATTCTTGCTATGGAATCATAAGGGTTGTATTTACTTCCATGAACTCTTAATATTGGTACATCACTTATTTGTCCTTGAATATTTAATTTGGGTTTTTTTCAGATGTTGATATTTTCTTTGCTGAAAGCCTTTTTAGTATTGGCAGCTGATTTATTTCTGGTTACTTCATCACATAAACAGAAAAAAGTTCTGATCCATTTGCCATTTATGGGATACAGAATGAAGCAATTTTTTCTTATGTCTTTTCCTGGTCTGTTGAGTGACCTTTGAATCAGTTCTCCTGTAAAGAAGGTTTTGAAAGTCCATTATTATGTGTCTTTAACTTCCTTGTTTCTTCATCTTTTTCACTTGAGAGGAGCTGAAATGTTTTTCTTAAGGTTGAATGGAAAGCTTATAATCTAATGCTTTCAATAATACGCCTCAATGATTTGGTGTAGTAAAATACTACTGCTGAAAGAGCAAGATAGATTTTGGCAAGTGTCTTAGACAAGATGTGAGTGGTGTATGTGGGTCTGCAATGTAAGCTCCCCTTCTCCCCCAGGCTGGTGCTCTCTCGGTTTGAATTTGAGGAGGTGTCGAGTGGAGAAAATGCCCTGGAGGTTGGCGAGGACGAGGAGGAAGTGTGGCTGTTCTGGAGGGACAGCAACAAGGAGATCCGCAGCAAGAGCATCCGGGAGCTGGCCCAGGACGCCAAGGAGGGGCAGAAGGAGGACAGGGACGTGCTCAGCTACTACAGGTGAGCAGCAGCTCCCGCTCAGCAGGGCTGCCTGGGGAGCTCTGCATGCACAAGGGTGTGTTGGGGAGCAAAGCTCCTGTTCCATGCACAGAACAGCCTTCGGAGAGGGAGGGTGAAGGCTCTCGGGAGTGAGAGCTGAAAGCACAGAGTTATTCGTGGTGAGGAGTCCAGGTGGTGACATGACCCAGTTTAAACTGATTTTTAAAGCATAGTTCTGGCTTTGAGTGTGTTGAATTTCCCAAGCACTTAGTGCTTGGTTTCCTGCAGGTGGGTGTTGGGCAGTCCCCTGCAGGTGACACTGGGTTCTCTGTCCACTTGGGGATGGCAGGATTGGGGTGTGTGGATGGCTTTGGTTTGGTTTGCAGGAAGTCACTGCTGTTCCCTGTGCCTCCTGCCTTCTCCCCAAGCCGTCAGGTCCTGCCCTGGCAGCAGCACCAGCGTGAGGCTGTGGTGGTGCCCCAGGCTGGGCTGTTGGCACAGCCCAGGCCGTGCTTTGGGCAGCTCTGACACGGTGAGCTTTCCAGATGACTTGACAAGACACAGAGTTCTTGGCATAGCGTGAGGTCAGGTTTCAGCCCAGACCAAATTCCTGTGTCTGGGTTATAAACCCCTGAGAGTCATTTGACAGGCTCAATTGTGGCGGTGCAGAAAGCACAACTAGATTGTTTGTTTAAATAATGATTTTGTTTGGAATTGTTTCTTTCATTCAAATGATTCTTGCAGGAAAATTCCTAATACCTGGTTTTATTTGAGCCTGTTGGAACTCAAAAGGAGACCTCTTAGATAAAAGTTCTTTAAAACATACTTGCTTTCAAAGTAGGTGTTTTGTTTGTAAAGTAAAGTAGTTTTTAAATATATTTATTTATATGTACTTTACACAGGAAATTAAACCGTAATCTTCAAGCCTACATAAATTAACACATAAAATTTTCTTTCTTCCCTTGGAGATACACCAGCTGAACCTCTTTGCTTTATACATAGACTATATCTATTTTTGTGGATATAAAGTATACTTTAAGCATATTTTTATATGCTTACTTATATATATATTTATATATGCTTTGTTTCTAATGGTTAAAGTAGATTGCATATATATTTATATATACTTACAGAGGAAATTAAACCATAATCAACAAGCCCACATAAATTAGCACATATAATTTTTTTCCCTTTTCCCACTGAAGATACCAGCTGAACCTCTGTGCTTTATATATACACTATATATATGTTTTTGTGGATATAAAGTATACTTGAAATAATTTATATATGCTTATTTATATATGCTTTGTTTCTAAGGGTTAAACTAGATTGTATATACATATATGTGTGTTTTTTACACAGGAAATTAAACCATAATCTTCAAGCCTACATAGATTAACACATATCACTTTCCTTTTCCCTTTTCCTCCTGAAGATACCAGCTGAACCTCTTTGCTTTATATATACACTATATATATTTTTTGTGGACATAAAGTATACTTGAAATATATTTATATACATTTATTTATATATATTTATATATGCTTATTTATACATATATTTATATATGCTTA